CCAAAACAGTAAAGAACACACACAACCCCCCTCACCCCCCCCCCCCCCCCCGAATATTAGCATTAATTATCAAAAGAGAAAAAAAGAACATGTAAGGCATGTTTTATTATCATCCCTAATAGTTCAACATATCAAAATTACATCATTTACACCAAAACCTTCTCTTTTTGACAATATATCAAACACTTGGAAGACATGTTTTATTATCATCCAATTAAAGTATCAAACCAAGAAAACTTCTTTCGATTTTCCAAAGAAATCAAACCAATCAATGATAAGAGAAGAATAAGTAAGGAAGCTTACCTGTTTATTGAAGGTTCTAGAAGCAAAAAAGTAACAACAACAATTGTTATTCTTCCTTCCCGACTCCTCATTCTTTCTTTCTCTCGGTATTTTGAGATTCCATGCCTTAAAATCGAGACCCCATTTATGACAGAATTGGATTTTGATCTTCTATTCTGACAGAATTGCTTTCACAACGACACTCTTGGAATCCGTAGACACAAAAGAAAATAGGTGTGTTTGGAACTTCAATCAACCAAAATTGTAAATCATACCTCCGAAAAACCAATTAAGAGTTTTTCAGAAAAGATAATACAAATATAAAAGATACGCTCTGAGAAAAAACTAAATTGCAAGAGAAGAGAGGGGTTTATGCATAGATTATTCAAAATCTTGATTTTTCAGATGATTTTCAAGTTTGATTTTGATTACAAAAATCAATTATGTGAAAATCGATTTCAAATTGGAGAACAAAAACACACTGATGGGGAAAGAACAGAATTCGAAGGAGGAAGGAGGATGGCGTTGTCGATGGCTACGTCTGACTGTGGTGGTAGAGACAAGATCAACGATCTGGTGGATTGATGGTGTTTTGTACGCGTGCGTGTGAGGAAAGTTCTCACTTGATTTTGCTGAAATGAGAAATTGAAGATGGAAAAGAGGTATCGACCATTTGGAGGAAGTCGTCATTAGGGTTTATAAAACTTATTTATTTTGTTTCCTTAATTGCAGAGATTTAACTAAATGATCCCATTAAATGCAAGTGCAAAAAAAAAAAAATCGGAAAATACCCTTTCTGATTTAATTAATTATTTAATTATTTGCTAATTTCTGATTAGTGCATTCAGGAACACAATAGTTATTAGAAACATTTGAACCTATCTCTCTCTCTCTCTGTATGTGTGTGTGTGTATATATATATATATATATATATATATATGGTGATGTTCAATAGAGAACCATTATTAACAATGGAACCAATAAAGCAATATTTTTTCTCAACTTTTAGAGCTTATTTTTTATCAATTAAAAAAACTAAAAATACAGAAATTCATAATTTTTATATCATTTTTCCAACGATATCAAATTCGATAAAAAATCTACTTATATTTTTCCGTTAAATTCACAATGTGATTCTTTCCAGATTCACATTGTGAATATGGGAATCTGAAGATTCACAATGTGAATCTGAATACACACGGTGAATCCGGAAAACATATATATATATATATATATATATATATA